TGATCCACTGAAAATGCACTTCTTAAAAAATAAGGACAAAAGGTCTCCATACCCGTGAATGTACAGTGCCATGGAATTGATGCTTTGTTTTTGTTGACTAAATTTCTGTTTCTCTTTCCCATGGTTAATTTGATTTCACTGTTCCCCTATGTCATATTTCTTCTTCTTTGGCCAACTACATTTTATCTATCTGTGACCTTTTGGCATAAAAAAAAAATTATTTTACAATTTAATATAATCTAAATTGTGGAATAAAATATATTTTTTCATATAACTCCTAGCAGTTTCAAAATATTTACACAGTATATAATTACTTGATATCTACTTTAAATGAAGGTTTTTTTAATTTGTTTTTTTAGAATATAAATTAATAGCACTTGTTAACATAAATATATATAAAAAATATATAAATTGATATTAATTTTAATTTAAATATTAAGTGGATGAATTTAATTAAATAATTAAAAATTAATTTTTATTTTTTTATTATAAATTTATTTAAAAAATATATTTATTATAAACTTCATATTTGCAGTAAGGAAACAAGGTAGGAAAACCATTAAGCAAAATATCCTAAATGCTCCTAGCCTAGAGGAGAGAAGAAATTAATGAAATTACACGTTTGGGCAGATTAGTTATCGCATGTAATCATAGGAGCCTAAACGTCTAGCTAGCTAGGAGTGCAAATCTCATGTAAGGGATGTTAGTTTAATGCATGTTGTTTTCTTAAATATTTTTGGGGAAGGATTTGTTAAAAATTTATCTTATAAATAATATTTTTTAAAACAAATTTTTAGATTAAATATTTTTTATATGTAAATTATATATATTAATTTTTAAATTAATTTAATATTTATAATTTATAATTAAAATTTTTTATTTACTAACATATATTTAATTATATTAAATTTTGTATAATTTATGAACTAATTAAATCTATTAGATCTTTGTAAAAATTAACATATATAATCTATATAAATAAAACTTTTAATTTAATAATTAATTTTTAAAATATTAATTTAAATATGCTATTTTTAAAATATCATTTATGATAAACATCCTACAAAGACATTATTCCCTAATTTAAAACTTCAAAGACAGCCACTCAAACTCATAAGTGGTTAGTTTTTTTGTTTTTTTCAGTATTAGGAGATCCAAGATTTGTAAGATGGAAGAATGGTGAGCGAGAAATGCTACGCCAGCTGAGACAATTTCTATCTCAAAATAAATTTTCAAAATTTTGTCACTTCAATTGTAATTAATTTTTTTGTTTGAGTAGATCTGATGACTTAGTATATAATTACTCATTTGATGTTATAGAATATTATGAAATTACAATATTAGTATAAGATAAAGTTATTTATAGTAACACCAATTTACCTCTTAATCAAGATTCCTTTGATATATATTGGTCTTAAATAATTGGTCATTTGCATAAATGATAAACCCATTAACTGAGTTTTGGTGATTAGACCAAAGTTCAACCAATTCTATAAATTCCCATTTAATTTGTTGTTTCTTCCTAATGCAGCATCATATCACATGTCATTAGGCAAGAGCAAAATGGTTTTCAGGTCTTAATGCATGCAGATTAAGCGACCATATTTAAGCACCTAAATCAACTTGCCTCAGACTTTAAATTTACGATCATGGAATAGAAAGGTTGCATATAGAAGAACACCCAAAATAGCGAGAGGGTCTTTAATTTTATTGGAACACTACCTTAGATATATTCAATAAGTCAATACTAATTTGATATTTTTATCTACTGTTATATTTACCAGTCGTGTAATGTTTTCTTTTTGTTAATTATTATAAGTTCAACTTAATTACTTTATCTTAAAATTATTATTATTTTTTTACTAAATAATGACACAATTATCTAAGGATGGAGAGTAATGTTTATTTGTATGTCATAATTTTAGTAAGTTGTTTGGATAATAATAAAAAAAGTATTATATATTAAATTGTACCAAATTACATAATAAAAATTATTAAATAAAAACAGTCTTCATAATATTAAAAAATTTTAAACCAACCTTTTAGGGTTTAATAATTCATTTTTAAATTTTAATATTTGAGTAAGATTTGGTTAGAAGTTCAAATCCTACCAACCATTTAAATATTCTACTAGATATACAAAATTACTAGCACTTCTCCTAACCAATAGGTTAAACCTATTCCTTTTCCCTTTTCTTATGTAATTGTCTTCGTTAAAAAAAAAAATAAATAAAAGTTATCTCTTTTTTATTAAATAATTTTTTTATAACCTTAACTATAATTAAAAACTCTTAACAACACCTAACATATGTTAAATTTTTAGAAAATAAGTGGATCCTAGGGAAGGCTATTGACGTTTGATGGGAACTGAAGCTGGGATTACGTGAAGGCAATACAATAAGATTTTGGATAGCTTCAGTGTATTACGCATTAGAAGACAAAATATGTGATTTTTTTAGAGAAGTAGGTGAGGCAACTGACCTTCATTTGAGGATTATGGCCAATTTTTGTAGTTCCAAAACTCATTACATGCAACAAATATTATGGGTGTGAGGTGCTAAGTGTCTGCTTTAGGATGATTGATTATATATAGCAAAGGCTTTATGGAGGAATGTTACGGACACTTGGTACCTGATTGGTGCATAGTGAATTATTATTTTTTTTTAATCTTATAAAAAAACAAATAGCACTCTGCACCGACGCACTTCGCATTGCTCAACAAGTATATACCTTGTAAAATCGACCATTTAAGAACAATATA